ATGAAGGGAGGAGGGAGATCTGTGTGTCACATGTTGGAGGAGCTGTGACACTTGAGCGGTAGAGTGGATCTGTGTGTCACATGATGTCTGTGGGGATCTGTGTGTCACAGGAAGGGAGGAGGGACTTTTGTGACACATGAGGGGAGGAGGGAGATCTGTGACATTGAGTGAAGGAAGGGGATATGTGTGTCCCATTGGGGAGGAGGGAGATGTGTCACACATGAGGAGGAGGGAGATCACAAGAGGGGAGCAGGTGTGGGTGTCATGGGGGAGAGTAGGGGTTGTGTGTCACTGGGGGGGGCAGAAGGGGATCTGTGTGTGTCCTACAGGGAGGAGTGATGTGTGTGTCACGAGGGGAGGAGGGAGATCGGTGAGTCACAGGAGGGGAGGAGGGGGATTTGTGTGTCACCTGAGGAGTCGAGGGAGTGAGTATCACATCCAGAAAGAGGGCGATAGGTGTCACATGGGGAGAGTAGTGGTTCTGCTTGCCACAAGAGGGGAGGAGGGGTGTTTGTCACCTGAAGGGGATCTGCGTCCTTCAGGGGAGAAGCGCTCTGTGTGTCACAGGAGGGGAAGCAGGAGAGCTGTATCACATGAATCGGGGGGGAAAGCTGTGTGCCATGTGTGGGGAAGGGGCGATCTGTGTCACATGAGGTGGAGATGAGTCCCTAGGGGAGGAGGGAGCTCTGTCACCTGAGGGGAGGAAGGAGATCTGTGTCACATGAGGGGAGCTGTGAGATCTGTGTCACCTGGGGGGAGGATGGCTCTGTGTGTCACATGCGGGGAGGGAGGACAGCTGTGTTACATTTGGGGAGGAGGGAGACCTGTATGTCCCAAGAAAGGAGGAGGGAAAGCTGTGTGTCAGCTGATTGGAGGAGGGTGGGAGGAGGGAGAGCTGTGTCACCTGGGGGGAGGATGGCTCTGTGTGTCAGAGAAGGGCGGAGGGAGATGTGCGTCACGAGGGAGGACAGCTCTTGTGTCACAGGAGGGGGAGGGGTTCTGCGCGTCAGAAGCAGGAAGGCGCGAGACGCAGGGGCCGGGGAGGCCAAGAGGAATGAAATCCCGGCCACGCCCCACAGCCATGCCTTTCCCACACCCCAAAACACCTGTAGGTCTCCTGGACGCGGGGGTCCCCGAGGGCTCCGACACCCGGACAGCCACAGGACTGTCCGCCCGGGCATACTCGCCCTCGCAGACAGAAGCCAGCGGCCGCCGCGCTCCGGGTGGCCTCGGGGAAGGCCGGCCCAGGGCGGGCAGCTCCGCTGGGCTGGTCCACGCGCTTCACCCGCGACGTGCCGCTTGCCGCCCGCGGCCGCCGAGGCAGGAGCGTGCTGTCGGGACGCGGCGCCCACACGGCCCCACGCGGGGGTCCTATGGTCTTGGCATCCGGTGGCCCCTACTCACGCCCCTGTGGGCAGAGCAGCGCCTGTGGCCAGCCCGCGGGGCTTCAGGGTGCTGCCCTGTCCTCTGAGCCCCTCACGTGGTGAGACCGGTGACCTCCAACCACGCAGGCAAGCCGTGCTGCACACCGGGGTGCAGCAGGCGAGGAGCAAAGATTCCCAGGGCCGAGGCGGGACCCCGCCAGGGGTCTGGGCGCAAGGACCCCGTGGGCAAACGGAGAGGGTCTGGGCCCCCGGGCGCCCCCAGCCAGGCGGCCCTCGGCCCAGACCCACCGCGGGACCTGGCGAGCCCCGCGCCCGCCCAGTCGGCGTGCTCTGCCACCCGCCGGCGGGACCGAGGCGTGCTCCCAAGGGTAAGTCCGTGTACTTGATGCCTGGCACAGGGCCTGGCACACGGTAGACCTTCACCGAATGTGCAAACGAATGAATGAAAGCCTGCCATGTACAAGGCCCTGGAGCCCGGAGACGGCGAGCAGGATGAGCAAGGCGATGGCGGTGGGTGGCGGCCAGGCCGCGGGATGGAGGTGAGTCGGCACTGAGCGGGATGGCGGAGGCCGGGGGGGAAGGGGGGCGCGGCCAGGAGGAGGCAGCGCGGGAGATGGGCACCGCGAGGATGGAGCCCCCCATGGAACATGCATGAGATGGAGCCCCAAAAGGCGAGGGGGGGCGGGAGGCACCCAGAGCCCGCAACCCGGGTCTGGAAGCCTCAGGAGGTCAAGGCGGAGAGCGCCCGAGCCCACCGGTCACAGCCCGGGGCCAGCACACCCACCCGCCCACCTGCCGCCGCAGAGCCCGGGC